AATATGCTCAAATACTTCAAAAAGCCTTTGTTACCAGATGAAAACTGTGATTATTATAACACAGTTTTCACATGGTGGAAATAAAACTACATTGCAAGTTTATTTGTGAGATATTCCAAATATCACCTGAAACCTCTCTTATCTTCACTTAGAAAAATAACACAACTGCTGGGTGCGGTGGCTGTGCCTGTGATCCTAGCTACATGGGAGGCTGAGGCAGGAGGCAGGAAAGTTCAAGGCCAGCCTGGGCACCTTAGTGAGACCCTACTTCAAAATAAAAAATAAAAAGGGCTGGGAATATAGCTCAGTGGTAAGAGTGACCCTGGGTTCAAGTCCCAGTAATCCCACCTCACAAAAAGGAGAGTAACCTAAGATAAAATAGTGATCTGCATGTTTAACCTAGTGCTTCTCCATATGTAAATGATGAAGAGTTTGTAAGATTCCTTGGGGGTTTCCTATAATAATATAGGAACTAGAAAAGGACTAAAAGTAAAAAACTATGGACAATGTAACTCAAAATCCTCACTTCACAGATGAGGTGTGACTTTCACAGTCTCCTTAAAGTCCCAGCTGCTATTCACTAAGATTCCCAAGGTGAGACTCCTTTCTTCCCCATTCCCTGATTACCAGCTCCATTGGGGAAGTAAACCCAAATCCCTCACAGTGCTGTGTGTACCAGGGATTGAGCCCAGGACTGCTTAACCACTGAGACATATCCCCAGTCCCTTTTATTTTGAGACAGGGTCTTGCTAAATTGCTTAGGGTCTCATTAAATTGCTGAAGCTAGCTTCGAACTTGCAATCCTCCTGCTTCAGCCTCCTGAGCCTCTGGTAACACAAGTGTGAGCCATCATGCCCAGCTCTCATGGTGACCTTTTGAAGTTAGTGAGAGAGGCCTAGGACGGGGCTGATAGAGGTAAGCTGGGTCTCTGGTAAAGGCAGGCAAAGGCAGCTAAAATGGCAACCAAGTTATTCTGTTATGGAGTGGCAGGAATCCCAGCAAGGGCAGGGAAACCGAGAGTGGTCATGATTAGGGAAAACTGGCAGCAAGTACTGTCTGAGAGGACTACTCCTCAGTTCCACTGCAGAATCTAAGCTAGTGTTGCTAGAACCAAGTTTTATGAGGAACTAGACATTAGGATTTTAAGGTAAAATTAAAAATACTGATTAGGCTACACCTCTACCAGTTTGTATGTAGCCAGACATCAGTTTGTATGATCAATGGCCTCACGACTTAGTGAATCAGGCACAGGCTTCCAGCAACCATAGCAGGAAATACTTACTTGACGGAGAGGGAGAAATCCCCAGGAGCACTCTCACTCTCTCGGATTAGAAATGCCCCATCGTGCCTCTGTTTGCTAAGCATTTCTTCTGCCTTGGCTCTGGGGATTTTGCCAAAAAACCACCTAAGGAAGGAAGACAAACCAGTCAACATCTGTTTCTCCACAAAGAAACGGATGTCCAGCCTTAAATGTGAGTAACAGAATACCTCTTGCCAGAGGAAGGGGCTCACCCTTACCTTTTGGTCTCACTGTGCCCAAGACRGGAGGACATTGGGTAGGGTCCTCCCTAAAAGATGGACTTTCAAATGGCTTCACCCCATCCACTTCCCAGAAAGTGACTCATCAAGGCACTATCACTATCAAAGGTCACTCTTTCTATAGAGGAAGAAACTTGAAAATGGGCCTTCCAAACCAAAGTCCTCCAGTTCCTGACCCACTCATTAGAAAGGTGCCCAGGAGAGTCCCAGGCCTATGGGTAAATGATCCAGGCTTGTTGGAGACAACAATGACACTTCTTGCAGCCAATGGATAAAACTGCAGCTCTGCCTCAGTGGGAAGAGGGACATAGGGGAAGGGAGGAAATTTGGAAGGCCCAGAACTTGGTGGTGGGGCTAATTCTATTAAAAGTCCAAAGGGAGAAGGTTCAGGCTGTGAGAAGGCAGCCTCTACCAGTTATGAAAGTCAGCATTCCTCCCAGGACCTTTCTCTGGAGTCACTGCTCAGTGTTCAGTTTTCAAAAGCCACCTGGAAGGGGCTGAGAACGTGGCTCAGTAGCAGAACACTTGTCTAACAAGCTTGAAGCACTGAGTTCAATCCCCAGCACTGCAAAAAACCAAAAACTAAAAACCCCTACAACATTGAGAACATCAAAATTTACCACATGCGCAGCAGCTGGTTGCGAAATTCAGATTTTTTCATTTGAACCAAGTTACAGACTCTTCTGCTCCTAATGGTTATTCACTTTGGTCATAAGAAAAAGTGGCTGAATTACTGGAAAACTATGGGAGCAACTGGCCTGTGGCTCAACAGGAGGAGGGGACATCTCTAAAAGAGCTCAAGGCCATGGCTGCCTGGCTATTTCAAATGAAAACCATTACCAATTAGGATGGAAGAATGGTGAAGACAATGTTCTTTCCACAATCATCTTCAATGTTTAATTATTTTTAAAAAGCAAAATCATTTACAGCTAAGACCTACCTTACATGGTAAATAGCATTCATTTAATTTGCAAACTATAATGCACCAATCAGTCCATTAAAGTTGTAAATATAACCCTTCTATCTATCCTACTTAGAAGCAACCACACTACAAGGCATTTTTAAAATACTACATCACTCTGAAATTCAGGCAGAAGGATGCAAGCTGCTGAGAGAGAGAAYCAGAAGCTTCCCCAAATCTACTTACTCATGTCTTTCCCACTTTGCCTGCTCTGATGCCAGGCTGCAGAGGTGCTTGTACAACGCCCTCACCCCTTCTACAAATATTCAAGGGCAAGTCCTGCAGTGCCTGGGAATTAGGCCACACAAAAGAAATTCCATAATAATAGACAAGAATGATCTCTGAAGATGAAAGAACGGCTACCAGCAGAGAGGCACATTTTCAGTTCCCTGGTGCTTTCAAGGGTAGGCTATACTTGTGAGCAGTGTACATCTTACTGGCCACTGCTAGGGAAGGAACCACAGCTGTTGGGAGGACCCACAACAGCCTTGCCTTCACTCCCACAATGCACTGAGGTGGAGGGGAGGTCCTTAAAAACTATTCTCTTCTCTTGGACCTCAAGATCTTCCCAACTTGTTTGTTGGTTGGTTGGTTCATTTGTTCGTTCATTCATTCATTCATTCATTCATTTTTGCAGTACTAGGGTTAGAACTCAGGGACATATTACCACTGAGCTACAATCCCAATTCTTTCTGAGACAGGGTCTTGCTAAGTTGTCCAGGCTGGCCTCAAACTTACCATCCTTCTGCTTCAGCCTCCTTTGTACCTAGGGTTATAGGTGTGTGCCACTGTGCCTAGCCATCTTCTTTTTCAGGGTACCAGAGATTGAACTCAGGGGCATTGGACCACTGAGCCACACCCCTAGCCCTATTTTGTATTTTATTTAGAGACAGGGTTTCACTGAGTTGCTTAGCTGAGGCTGGCTTTGAACTTGTGGTCTTCCTGCCTTAGCCTCCCAAGCTGCTGAGATTACAGGTTCCATCTTTTCTTTTTAAAAGGTATAATAAAGTAATGAATATGAATTAAAATGGCCTACATATACATGAATGCAAATAAAAAGAGACTTCCTCGGGCTGGTGTTGTAGCTCAGTGGTAGAGTGCTTTCCTAGCATGTGTGAGGCACTGGATTTGATCCTCAGCACTCATAAAAATAAATAAATAAAAATTAAAGGTATTGTGTCCATCTACAACTAAAAAATTAAAGACTTCCTGGATCCCCCCAAATAGCAACTTGCTGGCAGCTGTATATATTTCTAGACCTTTCCTCAGGGGCATAAATCCACATAAGTTACAATGTTTTCTTGTCCTAACTTAAAATGAACTCAATTTCATTTCCAATTTAAAAGAAAATCATAGTGAACTGTAAGTTGCTATACAGAAAAGTGCTCAAATTTGAAGATTTATAATTAAACACATCTTTGTTATAAAAACCTAGATCACAAACTGGAAAATTACTTTGAAGACCATTTCACTAAACAAAGATTTCTTGTGTATCTCATGAAATACTCATACTCCCTTTTTGACAGACATCCCATGCAGCAGAAGGGAATCTTGCATGTAATTAAGAGCYAGCATCAATTAAAACACCTAGCCACCACCACTCTGTAGCCACACTGCATTTTATATCATTTATAAAATTGATAGTCTATTAATTATTTTACAATATGGAGAACTGAACCCCAGGGCACTTTACTAACTGAGCTAAAATGAAATTTTTGGAGACGGGTTCTCACAGGGCACAGTGGCACATGCCTGACATCTCAATGACTCAGGAGGCTGAGGCAGGAGAATTACAAGTTCATGGCCAGCCTGGGCAACTTAGCAAGACTTTGTCTCAAAAAAAAAAAAAAAAAAAAAAAAAAAGAGAGAGAGAGAGAGAGAGAGAGAGAGAGAGAGAGAGCGAGCGCGCGCGCGTGCAAGAGAGAAACGCGTGCACGCATGAGCAAGCACATGAGCATCCAGCTAAATTGCCCAGGCAGGTCTGGCTTCTTTATTATTGCTATTCTGGGTATGGAACCCAGGACCTCATGCATGCTAGGTAAACTCTACCACTGAGCTACACATCAAACATGACAAGCTTCTGTTAGTGGAGATACTTATAGGTAACTATGTGCCTCTAGTCAATGTTCTACAAATCTTTAAAAAGATGGGATTGGTACTAAACTAGAAACAGCAAGGGAGAAAGCCAAGGGGAGGAGAGATTCATTTTCCAATTTAATTATTTAGAGCATGCCACAGGCTCCTGTCTATAAGTAATTCCTGTGAGGAGCATGTATGTGGATCCACGCCAGYCCATAGCACTCCTGCCACAGCATTGTTGTAACAACTGTTTCGTGGTCTGTGTTCCATATACCTCCAGGAGAGGTGGTACTTCCATTTTATATTTCCCTTTTCCTCTCCAACAAATAAAGAAAGAAGAGAGGAGAGTCCTTGTCTCTGCATTATACCACATCTATGTCTACTCACCTGGCAGTCCTACGGGGGCGGGAGCATGTGCTTGTAAAGTCACAGGCACAAGCATGGTCTTTTCTAGCAATATGGTAGGCTTGGAGAAAGAAGAGCTTTTGAATTTCAGTTTTCCTTTTCAGAGCATAAAGTGGAGGAGCACTGCCTGCCATTCAGCGGGTCTGTGATTAACCACCCAGTCGAGTTCCTGTTCAACAGTTTCTTGGCAGCTCTTTTATATAAGTGGGAAGGTCAAGGCGTGAGAGTGACTTTCCAATCAAGGTCAGTAATGACAACTTCACCAAAGATGTGGCCTTTCCTATCTTCTCTCAACAGACTGATTCAAAATGCTTACGTTGGGGCTGGGGATGTGGCTCAAGTGGTAGCGCGCTYGCCTAGCATGCGTGCGGCCCGGGTTCGATCCTCAGCACCACATACAAACTAAGATGTTGTGTCTGCCAAATACTAAAAAATAAATATTAAAATTCTCTCTCTCCCACTCTCTCCCTCCCTCTCTTTCTTTAAAAAAAAAAATGCTTATGTTGCTGGGCATGGTGGCATATGCCTGTAACCCTAGCTACTCTGTGATCCCAGCTACTTAGGAAGCTGAGGCAGGAAGATGGCAAATTTGAGGCAAGCCTCAGCAATTTAGTGAGATACAGTCTCAAAACAATTTTTAGGGCTGAGGATGTAGGTTAGTGGGAAAGTGCCCCTGGATCCAGTCTCTAGTAATCACACAAAAGAAGAAAATAGAAATGATCATTTTTGAAGTAGAAGCAGGGCCAGGCAAAGAGGAGTGGGTGAGATGGGAGGTCAGCAGCCTTCAAGGATCCTCAGGGTCCCACTATGCTGATTATTTATATAAAGCAGAAAATTCAAAATTCTTACTACTCTCAGCAACTTGGAGGAGAACACATTTCCTTCCAACTGAAACATGAACACTAACATGGAAGAACAAGCACTTACAGAGAACTATTACCTACAACACCAAGCTTGGCATACTCTCACAAGGTTACCCAGCATACCAACACAAAACCATGTGGTACCTTCTCTGAAACTCAAGAAGTATGGAATTACGGAACACATCTGGCCCAAGGGTTTTAAAGAAAAAGGTACAGACTTGCAAAGTATTGTTTTATTTTTGAAGATAACTGATAGGTATTAATCTAAAATGTATACCATTACTATTGTACTATCATTATATACAATGATTAACGTACAAGGTCAACATGCTGGGCTCGTTCCCCAAACAGATAGAATAAATGGCATGACATTCATCACGATGGTCTCTGTTTTAAAAACAGTATTTGAAACAAGCAGGTGGGCCCTGCCTTGGCAGATCATGAGCCCCACTTACGGGTGTGGTTTCATTTCTATGTAGTTCTTGGGAATGAAGCCATCCTTCCCATTGAGCTCTGCCTTGTACCAGTTCTGATCACATTCTTCATTCAAAACCTGAAAAGAAGAAAAACAAATCAATCATTCCCTTTCCACTTTCAAAAGGTAGTCACAAGACAATTATGCCACCCCTTAAGTTTGTGAAAGGTCTTTTTTTTTCTTTTTTTTTTTTWAATATTTATTTTTTAGTTCTCGGCGGACACAACATCTTTGTTGGTATGTGGTGCTGAGGATCGAACCCGGGTCGCACACATGCCAGGCGAGCGCGCTACCGCTTGAGCCACATCCCCAGCCCCCTAGTGAAAGGTCTTATTTGAAGTATTAGCCAACCTCCAGAATTCACAGGGATCCAATCACAGGATTCCCCAAAAGCTTCTCTACTTTTCTGCAAGGATGGGATGTCCACCAAGCAGCTTCACAGTGCTGCTGCTTAAAGCACAATCACAGGCCCTTGCATGGAAAGACTATTGACCAAGAATGAATCCTGCTCACTTCAACAACCTTCAAGACCCATGTGGTGTCCAGGTTAGATAATGCTAATGTGATTAACAACCCAGCAGAGATCCTGTTCAACAGTTACTTGGCAGCTCTTTTATGTAAGGGAGAAGGTCAAGGCGTGAGAGTGGGCTTCCAAGCCCACCAACCAGCACAACTCAGGTGTATAAGGTATTTAATCCCTAAGCCTTCTATGAAAACAGGTCTAGAAAAATGAAACGGCAGGCTGGGGATGCAGCCTGGCATGCAGGGGGCCCTGAGTTCAATATCCCTAACAACCATACACCCACACACAGAGGAAGAAAGTAAAGAAAGATAGATGAAATGGCACAATAAATGCTGGAGACTTAAAAAAAAAGTGTATGGGGGGTGGTTACTGTTGGTGGGTTTGCAAATTAGTAGTACCACTAAGGAAATCAGTATGCAGGTTCCTCAAAAGACTAGGCATGGAACCACCATATGACTATTATACTAATCCTTTGTATTTATCTTCAAAAATTAAAGTCATCATACTATAGTAATACATGCATACCCATGCTTATAGAAGCACAATTCATAATAGCCAAACTATGGAACCAACCTAGCTGTCCACCAATGGACGAATGGATAAAGAAAACATAGTATATACATAAGAGAATCAAAGAATCATCATAAAGAAAAATGAAATTATGGGGCTGGGGATGTGGCTCAAGTGGTAGCGCGCTCGCCTGGCATGCGTGCGGCCCGGGTTCGATCCTCAGCACCACATACCAACAAAGATGTTGTGTCTGCCAAAAAAAACCTGAAAAATAAATATTAAAAAAATTCTCTCACACCTCTCTCTTTAAAAAAAGAAAAAGAAAAATGAAATATGTCATTTGCAGGAAAATGAATGGAACTAGACACCATTAGACAAAATATAACTCAGAAGATTAAGGGTCATGTTTTCTCTCCTATGTGGAAGCTAGAGASGAAAAAGGAAAATGTGGAGGCAAATCTTATGAAAATCAAAGGAAGATCAGTGGAGGAAGGGGGCCAAGGGTTGGGAGGTGTGTATGGTAGGGAGTGATGGGGACTGAAATTTTGGCCAAATTATAGTTATACTGCATACTGTGTGCATGTACAAATATGTAAAAACAAATTCCATCAGTATGTACAACTATAATGTACCAATAAAAATGGGGGGGGGGGAGATGAAATGGCTACCCAAGATTATAAGCTATTAACCTCCCATACCTAAGAACCACGTGCAGGTTTTCAGATTCCAAATGAATGTTCTCTCCAATGCTACCTCCTGTGAATTAGACAGGCCAGGCCATGAGACTAATCTGAAAATACAAACACACCCTAGGAATTCTAAACTGGCTACACAAGGCAAAAGGCAGAAGGTATTTTAAGAGAGAAAAGAGATGTGACAACAACAACTCCAGACCAGTGAGCAAAGGGAATGTGGGCTAGTAAGTGGAGTGGTATTACTATATACCACACTGCAAAGTTCTGAAAGGAAGCTGATAAAATTTTTTGCAAAATGATTTATTTGAGATGCTGAACAATGCTGTACCCATAGCCAAAATGAAAACTGGAATGCTTTAAGGTGTTTGAGGTTAGTGCATTAACTGACATTTCGAAGTGAAATGTATAACAGTAGAAAGGGTAGACAAGGCTGATCAGCCAGGCTGCATTAATGACCACTGAGGCTCATTCAGTTCCAAACAGAAGCCTGGCCTGAACTTTACCACATCGGTGCTTAAGTGTGATGCTGGCCAGCCTCTAGCCACAGCTGTCAGTCACTGGGTTTAAGCATACATATGTATACAATAACATGGCAAATCCTGTGACAGCTGGTAAGTGTGAACAGTAAGTGCTTTAAAAATTAGATACTACTGAACCTGGCAGTCTTAATGTTCCCAAGAGTCCCACACATACATATAGTATGGTGATGAAGTTTATCTTTATTTTTTCCCTTAAAAAATTACTAAAGCTTTGAGGATATAAAAGGATTCACACACACATACACACACACACACACACACACACAATTCATAAATTTTAAAAACATTTATTGTTTAGTTGCAGGTGGACACAATACCTTTATTTGTTTTTATGTGGTGCTGAAGATGGAACCCAGTGCCTCATGTATGCTAGGCAAGCACTCTTCTTCTGAGCCCCAGCCCTACAATATTCATAATTTTTGAACCTTCATTTGAACACCGAACTATGCTGTGGCAGGCAGAGGTATTTTGTTGTTTATAAAGGCACTGAAGAGCCAGGCACAATGGCACCTCTGTAATCCCAGTTACTGGGGAGGCTGAGGCAGGGGGATCACTAGTTGAGGTCAGCCTGGGCAACTTACCAAGACCTTGTCTCAAAATAAAAAATAAAAAGAGCTAAGGATGTAACTTCACAGAGCAACCCTGGGTTCATTCCTCAGTACCACAAAAAGGGGTGAGGGGCATACTGAGGACAAATGTTGAGGAAGGAGAGTGCTCCCAGGCCCACCATGCCAGCTGCCCATCCCTGCAGCACAGGAGGGCGCTCAACACTTAAAAGCCTGTGAGAAGAGGAGCTACTTACAAAGTTGCTTAAGGCTCAGATTCTATTATTAACAAAAGGGCAATTGGGCACGCCCCAGGAGCTCCAGGAGTCTCACATTCTTGTTATCTTTACCAAGAAAGAGGTGAATCCCCCTAAGAGGTATCTCCCCCTGCCAAATAAATGAAAGTCCAGGCAACTCCCATACTTGGAACCAATTTAGAACTATGGTTTTCCTTAGGGMAAAGCTATTAGTTGTTGTTTAGAATGCTTTTCTACCCCAGAAGGCAGGGATTTTTTTWAAAAATATTTTTAGTTGTAGATGGACACAATGCCTTTATTTTATTCATTTACTTTTATGTGGTGCTGAGGACTGAACCCAGTGCCTCACACATGCTAGACTAGTGCTCCACCACTGAGCCATAACCCCAGCCACAGGGATTTTTTTTTTTTTTTTTAATGGAACACCAGAGTATGTGAATGGTTACAATTTTGGTTATCTGGAAGTTCCAGTATCCGAATATCACTTTATCAGACAGCCAAGGTGTTGCTGCTGGTGGCTGTAAATCTCTACTCTAGGATTTCAGGAGAGGCTGGTGCTGCTGGAGGCAAAGCGCAGGAGGAAGAGTGAAGCTGCTGGCTCCGGGCACCCTGAGAGTCAGAGACTGGACCTGACTGCACTACAAAAGCACATTAGCTCTCACGTGGACACCCTGAAAAGTCAATTTTTATTCAGATGTTAAGCAAATGAGCAGGCAAGGGACACAGGAACATGAGTTTAAAGTGGAACTAGGAGGAAAGCAGAGCTCTCCGGGGGTGGGCCTGTGCCCACAGGTCTGTGGTTCTAGATGAGAGCTCCTATCTGTCACCAACAATGCTTAAAACCTTGCCAGAGAGCTGGGAACCAGGAAACTTCTTCTGTCACTGTCGCCCCACAGAAGACAGTGAATGGCTGGCTCATCCATCACCTCCTCACAAACCCACCAGCTCGCAACCAAGTTCCAAGGACCATCTCTAGCCATTGCCTCACAGCTGCATTTTCTTTCCAGCCCCCACATTCCCTGAGTTATGACTCGGAAGCCACACAGAACACTAGGGTTTAACGGAAGCAGATTGATCAAGAGATGAGATTACGAGAGGAGGAAGAGCCAAGTTTCAGTGAAGGTTCTTTTTTTCTTTTTTCAAAGACACCTAAAATAATGCTAGCCCAAATCAGGAAGACATGTAAGAGATAGGAATGAGGTGAGCTTTATGCAGGAAAATTTAAAAATATTCCAGTCAACAGAAGGGACATGAGGGGACACTGGAGGTGCTGCCTCTGTTGTATTTCTCAGCTAGGTGCCATGTATGTGGGTGTGTTCAGTCTGTGAAAATTCACTTAACTGTTATGACGGGTAAATTTTTCTTTATGTATATCTTGATCAAAAGTTAGAGCTATTCTGGTTCAGAACATACTGTCATATTTTGGTTCATTTCACACCTAAGAAAACTCCATCATGGCCTCAAACACCTCAGACACAAACTTCACACCCTCAAAAATATATAGGGAAGCAGGAAAAACATAGCAAGCCTTCAGAAACCCCCATGATGGGGCTGGGGATGTGGCTCAAGGGGTAGCGCGCTCGCCTGGCGTGCGTGAGGCCTGGGTTCGATTCTCAGCATCACATACAAACAAAGATGTTGTGTCCGCGAAAAACTAAAAATAAATAAATAAATAAAATTCTCTCTCTCTCTCTCCTCTCTTAAAAAAAAAAAGAAAAGAAACCCCCATGATGACAGCTTTTCATTGCTACTCTATGAAAAAAAAAAAAAAGTAATTCCAAGGAAGAAAGCTTTATTCACCACAGAGGACCCAGGGCATTCAGCATGCTCCACTTCCCTCACTCCCAACCTGAGACCACTCTAACAGCAGCGCAAGAAGATCTCCCTTTAAACTACAATGGGAAGCTTTCTGAATAAAGAGGAAGGAAGGGAGGGACGGAGGGAATCCAGCAATACAGATGGAGGTCTCAGACCCCATAGGATCTACCTGACCTGATGGCAAGAGCTCA